CTCCAAAGAAAATCTGATGTTAAGAAAAAGCAGATCGTTCCAATATGAGTCAGGTGTGCCAAGAATAGCATACAGCCCACATTCGTTGAAGAGGACGCTAGGGTGCTTTTTTCGTTCAAACAAGCCCTGATTTTCGCCGTTTGGATAAAATGAGTATGAAAAATAAAAGATGTTGACCTCTGAACAGTTGTGGCTGCGCTTAAATTTAGAGGAGCGATTGGTCGAACCCTCCAATGCACGATTGATTGGTTTTTTCCAAGCAGCAACTTCCCAGTAAAAATATTAATTATAGAAGTTTCTCCTATGTTTACTATGTTTTTAATAATTATTATTAAATAATCTTCTCGTAGAGTGTTTTTGGACGATACTGAGCGTGTTTTCCATTACCTTGAATAACATGATTTTGACAAGAAGAAAGCTTCTTGATTTGAATATTCAGTTTTTCGCTGCCATAAATATAAAAATTACAATTCAGACACTTCAAAACTCCACAAGTTTTACGATGTTTTGATGCATTTTGAGGTCTGAAACATCTGCTACACTCAAAACATGCCACTAAGTCGTTTGAGTTCGTTTCAAAAAGAACCTCGAAAAAATCTTAAGCTCTTTGTATTTCAAACAGCACAAGGCCATCAAATATCGAAATTGCGTAATATCGAAAAAATGGAAAACTTCGGAAGTGTGTTGAGTTTTAAAAAATTTTTCATTTCAGCAAGGCTCCAGTTTCAAATTGCGGGTATTTGTAGATTATGAATTTTATGCTATTTAAGGCTAAATCTGGGTTTTGAATTAATTTCGAAGGGAATCCGAATTTTTTGTGAAGTCTATCATGGTTGACAAAATATTTTTTCCAAGATTCACAAAAAACTGAAAACACACCATTCTGAAAAGACCGAGAAGCAGTGTTAGATTAAATGCCGGAAATGCTATTTTTCTACATGATTTTAAAGATTTTTTGAACTTAGTGCATATCGCCATTAAAATTTTGTTTGTTTTTGGGTGGCAAAATACAATTCAATTTGGCACAAAGAAGGGATCCTTTAGCTGAGTACGGTATTTTTGAGTTGCGGTACTCATTTATTGCGGTATTCATTTATTGTTATGTTATTCTTATGACTAATTTATTTGGCTTAGAATGGTATTTGAACTTGATTCATGGTTGAGAATTTTCGTTGATAATTTTTTCACCGTGATTAACTTTCTAAGGATTATGCGAGCGTCTGGGTTGTAAGCAAGGCATGTCATTTGTGTACAACAGAACGACAAGATTTTGATTACATTGAAAACGTCGTAAAAACAAAGTTAAAACATAGCCAAAAGAAGATTAGAAAAGAACAATAAACGCAAGTAAACAAAAAAAACATTCCAAGAAAAAAGTGGATGCCATTTTAGCTCTTCGAATTTCTAGAACTATTTATAATTGCCGTTTTTTTGATAACATGAACCGAACTAGAGAAAACCGGATCAATAGGTAGAGTTTTTTCCCGCTAGAAATCTAAAAATTAAATTACACTTTCAAAACTAAAAATTTTCATGTTTTTTGCGCCCTTTCCACGTTCGTATACGGAGAGTGCGATTTGCATCAATTTCAGCATATGAATTTCAATTGAACTCAAAAAATGTTTATATACCTTATTGCATTCATAAATGCATCAAAATGTATGAACGCACATTTGTATTTATTAGATACTTCTAAGACTTTTCCTAAAAAAGCAAAAAATTCAGAAACACTCATATAAGAGACTTCGCTACGTTCGATGCTCTCATTAACAGATTGACTTCGAAAAATTCCAAAACTCCTCACAAATTGATAAAACGGTGGGTAAAAAAAGGAAATTCAAAACAACCTTTTCAATTAAAAAAAAAATTTTAAAAGAAGTTTCATAAAACGCGTTTAATCCTGTAGTCCAAATTACAGGGTATCAAGGTCCATATCTACACTAATTAACCAAAATTTTTCTCAACTTGATTCTTTAAAAACAATTGAAAACTTTTATTTTCCCTATGTTATCTGGTAATGAATTTTCTCTATAATGGACTTATAATATTTTATAATCGAAGAAAATAGTTTTCAAATGCCAACATATTTTTACGGCAAGGACCTGTTTTTATAGTAGATGTATAGCATATATCTAACGCACACGCGGGTAAACCTAAAGAATGCATGGATGCATGCAAGGTGCATGAAAAATACTAATACTCGAAAAAAAATTATGTTCAAACTTCTGTAATTATCGACTTGTTCAAAAGCTATATTCTAAAAGCATTGATCAATTTATAATCGATATTCAAAAATATGGGAAAATAAGGTTCCCATGTTCTTTTTTCAGTGCAAAACAACTAAAGCCTAGTTTCGTAGTGCAAATGTACGCCTCTCAAAACAACTTCTCAAATCGATCTCTACCAACAACTTGTAAGAATTCGTTTTCATTTGGTCCTAATTTTTTTTCGCAGTATTGGGAACACTTGATGAACTTAAGAATCAACACCAATTTCAAGAGCACAGGCGAGAAAACAGCTCAAATTAGCTCCAAAAATGTTAAAACCGAAATAAGAAAAGCAACCAAGGTTCAGTAGCCAAATTGTTGGCAATATTGGTGAGTTTGAGCGTTTTAGCTAAACTAGTTATTTGGAGACAATTTTACGCATGGAGTGAGAAAATTATATCCAACGACGAAATGAGCAGTTTCATAATAACTAACTTCGCTCAAAATCGTTGACTGAAAAGAATATTGCTAACCATTTTGCATCAACTATAAACAAGACTGCTCGTACCAGGGTACAACCCTGAATGTTCCAACTGCCCATTAATTATTTTTCGGCTGATATCAAAATCTAAGTGTTAAAAATTGAGTAGTATATGAACATAATCACACCAATAATCTTGTCTCAATTGAGTTTGAAATGATCTTGTAGCGCAGGATCTTTCGCCACGTGTAAATTTTTTGCGTTAAATTTTCAGAATCAAAGAAAAAAAAAACGATCAGTTTTATTGCATAGAATCGTTTGAATTGAACATCCAGTCACGCTAATACAGTGGGGTGTGCACACGACAGGGCCAACGTAGGTCCAGCAATCGAGTCCCCAATTGAGCTAAAAGTTGTCCGAATAAAAACCTATCTGAACAAATATTCATTTTTTTTTTCAAGACTCATTTTTCTAGAACATATCTCATTATCTTAGAAAATTAGAACAATGTCTCAAAAATAATTTTTGGCTGTGTCAAAAACAAGCTGCCGACTAGTGTATTATCATTCTAATGTTCTCGCATCTGCGTTGTTTTGATAATTGGCAAGCACCAGCCATCAATAAAGCCTTTAAAGCTTTAAATACGCCTTGAAAAACAAAGGCTTTGCTTTGTACCCGCATCGGCGTAGATTTGTTATAGAATACTTCTTTCGCTATGAAAAAAAATGAGAAATCTAAGGTCAGGGATGCATCATGAAGGTCATGATTGACATTTAGTTGTAGAAAAAAAAATTTCAATATGAACCTTCTTAATTTAAAATGTTTTGAATGATATTTGCAAACATTCCTTTTCATTAAAATTTACTACTCTTACTACACGCAATGATAAAGTAAAACGATTTGAATATCAAATATCCGCTAACGCTTAATTTGGAACGACCAGCTTGTCAAAATTCTGCGTTGGGCTTGATGATTAAGTCACCAGTTTTTCGTATTGGAGAAATAAACCAAGCTTTCACTATCCCAAGCTTCAACGTTAAGCACCCCCCCCCCCCCCCCCACACACACACACACACACACACATTCAAAATGGTTACTTAGTGTTGAAATTTTTCAAAAAAACATTGCCTACTTTGAAAAAAAAAAACGGAGTAAACATACCTACTTGCGATGCTAGCAGTCAATTCGGTTTCAAGTTAATTTTCTTTTTATTTAGAATGATGGTGGCTAAGGTATTTAGCAGACTGTTTTCTAAACTGCCTGGAGCAATTGGGGTAGGTCAGATCATTTCAATCCCTGCATTGGTATTGTAGAAATCATGTTATAAGCTCTTACTTTTGACAGCTGTTATCAATTCAGCGTGGCCATTTCAAAGATTGCTTCTTTCAGGAAATTCGCTAAAGATGAGGAGCGCAGTTAGGGCACCAGAGCGGCATTCGAAACGTTAAAAAAATTGCCCGTAGCGCAGAAATTTTTGTAAAACTATTACTTTTAATTTCTAATTTTGTTTCATTCTTTTTAATTTTCCGCCCGAGCTCAGAAATGCTGTAGTCGATCTGACTTGTAGAAATTTTGTTTGAAAATCCAAAATTTGGAATTGTTCTGGAAATTCTGCGAACCGAACAACTTTTGCGATTCCAAAGATGTCTTCAAGGCGATGTTTTCAATTTTTCAGCATTTCACAGGAAAAAAATTTACTTCGATTCGCATTCTTCCACGAAAACTTTTTTTAAGATGGGGGGTTGTTTTTTGGGCCGTTTTTTTGCTTCTAGGACTTTCACCTGGCACCACTATTAGCCAAAATAGGTCAGGATTTGGTCGAACTGAATCTAGAGGTCAAGTGAGATCTTACCCTCACACTATCAGTGCCATGGCAGAGGATCGATTACACGATCTGACGCTCTAGAAGTGAACGCCTTACTATCATGCTAGAATCCTGTGACAAAACCGGGTCATTATTATGTTTTGGGATAGGAGACCTCGGAAAAACATTTGGTCGACCCAAAAGGAAAATAAATTCTATAAAAAGCTCCCCAGCGCAGTAAAGCAAGACCCCTAGATCCTCCCCTGGTTTGAAATAATTGGAGAAAATGAAAAGTGGCTAATCATTTACACTCAATCTGATTCTTAAATATGATTCAATCTGATTCGAAATTGCACGCCTTCCAGATACTCAAATTTCCGCAGTGTGAATAAGCTTTAACTTTAAGCCTTTTGAAGCTCTTCCAATCCTAACTGCTCAACAACTCATATGTAGCAAAGATGAGTTAGGCCACAGTTTTCAGCAGCTTTACCAAAGCCGGAGTTAAAAATCAATCAGAAAAACGCTGAATTATCCATGGTAAAACAAAGCGCAAATAAACAGAAAATTGATAATTATGCAGATAATAAAGCGTCTTTATCATTCCAGTTCTCATTCGGTTCTATCGAACGCAAAATATATTTCGTTTAAATATCGAAAAAAACCATGACACCCGAATAGCAAATTAGCGAATTAAATCAAGCCGGAGGGCAAAAAATATGTTGTCAGCTATTATCAATCGGAACAGGGAAAGCAGATAACATAGGAACTTGTACTTTTTAAGTTCCTAAATTATAACACTAAGTCACTGACATAAAGGCACGAGGATCGTGTAACGCATGCTATGTCCGTGCTCTTCAAACGAGCCTAAAAAAATGATTTTATTGGAATTGTGCCCTGAAACGACAGCGAAGCTGGCTCGATTCTAATTGGCCGCATTGCTATTCGATGAGGAGGGATTGGAGTCTGAATTATTCTGCTGTGCGGATGATGAGGCGTTGTTGTTGTTAGTGTTGGAACTGGACTTGGAGCTGAGTCTCTCGACCCTGCCCATTGCGATGGTTTTGTCGTTGCTGCGCAGTGTAAATCTGCCCATCTGGGGATACTGGCTGTACATCTCCAGACACACTGGACGACTGGCCTGCATCACTGCCACCACTATACCGTCTTGCCGCACAAAACTAACACACAAAATATAAACAACGTTACACACAAAATATCACACAAAATAAACGGAACATATGAAGTTAAAACATAGCCAACAAACAGTTGCAATAGAGCCAATGAACGTAATTAAACAGAAAAAAATTGACTCGTTTTTTGGAAAAACTCCAATTTTTGATTTCCAAGAAAAAATAGCTGCCCTTAAATCTCTTTGAATTTCTAGAAAAAATTATCATTGGCACTTTTTTGATTAAAATAACTGAAATTGCGAAAACTGGATCAATAGATAAATTTTTATTACGCTGGGAAATCTGAAAATTAAATCTTCTTTCGAAACAGGAAGTCGATCACCTTTTTGTGACCTTTACACTTTTGCTGTTCGATGGTGGAGTTTACCTTCGTTTTAACATAGGAAATGAATTAAACTTCAAAACAAATCAATAGTCAAACCGCGAAAAAGTAAATTTGAGCCTGAACAAATTTTCAGACTTTTCCTGAAAAAAAATTAAAAAATCATCGCGACCAATATAAGAGTCTGAACTACTTTCATCGACTCTTAAACAAAGATGTTGTGGCCCTTTCATTCATTCCTATCACATTCACGACCTCAAAAGTTTAAGCTAGCAAGAAAGTTGCTTGATATTTATCTGCTAGTTTTTAATTACGACTTGAATCAGCAGCCTTGACTACCATTAGCTGTTATTTTGGAGAGTGGCTTTTGAAAAATTAGCAAGCTGATGTTTTTTATTTGAAAAATGACACAGAGGCGAAATTTCGCTTCGCAAACAATAGCGAGAACAAGACAAAAAGCAGCTCTATAAAGAGCATCAGGAAAAATTAGAATTAAGCCTCGAGTTAGTAAAAAATTCGACTACGTCTGAGATTCGAACATGCGACCTGGAGATAAAGAGTATCAAAAACTCACGGACGCTTTATAAGCACCAAACACTAGCCACAAACAAAACAGATGCCATGCAATTTCCAATATTACGGTGAAAATTCCAAATTAGTGAACGCTTTTAATTGCGATCTAGGTTTGAAAAAAAAGAAGGTTCGTAGTAACACAAAGCTGATCGCGTATGAAAAAAAAACATCATGCAAAGGAAAAAAAGCTGATCCGCTCTCAACGGATAACAGCTGAAGTACTTCAGCTTAAAATTCAAACTCATTATGCACTGTGAAATTTTGTGCGTTTTCAAGCACACAGCGCGGATAACTGCATTCAATATCGAGAGCTGCAAAAAAATTGAACCAAAATAAATAAATAAAAGCAGAATTTGATCTTTTGCATGCAAAAGCTCATTTTTCAGACAACAACTAAGTCTCAAGGTCACCTAAAAATGTTTTTTCCAGAAGAATTCACTCATAACTAGCGTGTAACGCACCTCCGGTGCTTCGAATTTTTAACATCTCATAAAAAACCGTAAAAATTGAGGAAAAATCAGCATGCTTTGAGTGTACTCTGACAGCACCAAGTTAAAGGGTTGGTAATTTCAAATTTTTAAAAACCATTAAGTTTTTGATATCTAAGCTCTTTGAAAAACTTTAAAATCTTTGAAAAATTAAGAAACATCACATCTCGGAATCTAAAACTTATTGGGCAGTCGCATTTGAACGCAAGATTTGTAACTCCTGACATAAACGAAGGTAATACAAAATTCACAACTCCTGGGAGTACCCTGGCAGAACCTCACTATAGAGGTGGGGACTTAAAGTTTTTGATATCTAAGTTCTTTGAAAAACTGTAAAATCTGTGAAAAATGAAGAAACATCACATCTCGGAATCTAAAACTAATTGGGCAGTAGCATTTGGACACAAGATTTGCAACTCCTGAGAAAGCTCTTACAGTACCCAACTACAGCGTTGGGAATTTCAAATTTTGAGAAACTTAAAACTAAGTTTTAGATAAAAAAACTTTTTCGAAAAAACCATAAAAAAACGTTTAAGCTCGAAAACGTCATACAACCAAAAGATTTGAGCAGCCAAATATGGAGGCAAGATCTCTCGCAATCCCTGAGAGTACTCTGACAGTCCTCAATTACAGGGAGTTAGGAACTTCAAAATTTGGAGAAGAAAAAATAAATTAAAGTTTTCTAATTTTTTTTTGAAAAAATAACAAAAAACGTCATATCTTGAAAACTACAAAGACTTGAGCAGTCACAGTTGGAGGCAAGATTCGCAACACTTGAGACCACTTTGACAGCTCCAAATTAAACGGTTGGGAAATTCAAATTTAAAAGAAATAAAATTAAATTTAAGTTTTCTTAAAACTTTTTGAAAAAAAAAATCACAAAAACTTCATATCTCAAAAACTACAAGGATTTGAGCAGTCATATTTTGAGACAAAATTCACAACTCCTGGGAGTACCCTGACAGAGCCTCACTATAGAGGTGGGAACTTCAAATTTTGTGAAATTATTTATATTTAAGTACTTTAAAAATCTTGAAAAACGTCCTAAAAAACATCAAATCTCGAAAACTACAAGGATTTGAGCAGTCATACTCAGAGACAAGATTCGCAACTCCTGAGAGTACCCTTACAATTTCCAACTAGAGGATTGATATCTTCAAAAATTTCGATTTTTTTTTTTTAATCTTAAGTTTTTTGAAATTTTTTGAAAAAATCATAAAAAAACGTCATATCTCGAAAACTACAAGGATTTGAGAAGTAAGATTTGGAGGCAAGATTCGCAACCCCTGAGACTACCTGACATCCCCATCTACAGGGTTGCCGATTTCAAATTTTCAGAAACTTAAATTTTTATAGAAATTTTTGAAAAATCTCGAAAATTGCCGTATCTCGTAACCTCATTGCTTATTGATATATGCAGGCCGAAATCGCAACATCCGGGGAAACCCTGACAGAAAAATAATACGTTGAAAAAACTTAAACATGGCGAGATAGTAAAGCCCGCATTTAAATATATAATAGATTGACATATTGCTTTTTTAATCAATTCTGTCTGTTCCATTTTTTGCTACCAATTATTCTAGTATTCTAGTAGTTCTCTCACCGCGGTTTGGTGTCGGTTCTCTTGCCTGTCTTCTTGTCGACGTTGCACACAAATGTCTTGAAAACCACTTCCTCGATGGCCGTGTGGCAGTGCATCATGCATGTGAATCCAGGAGCAATTATGGACTCATAGTCCACTATGTGGATCTGTGCCTCGAACTTCTTGCTCACGTGACACACATCTGACTTGTCACACAACATGAACCCGTTCGAGATCTCGTCCTCCTCAATACCTGCACAACACGTGATCGATCTATATTTTATTCAATGAACAATTTCTTACGCCTAAGACATAACTCCTTGCAGAACGAATGCATGTTACAAAAACTATGGCCAAGGAAAAATAAGGAAACTGAGCGTGAACAATTTATTAGACTTTTTCCTGAAAAAAGTATTAAGGTTCATTGACTCATACAAAGTCGAGTACCCGGGGATAAAGTCTAGTGCCTGCGGAAAGAAAGTAACTTTGTCCTAAAAAAAACAAAAATTCGCTTCATTCTTTTACACTTAAACAGACTTCAGACTTAAAATCCCCTTTTTCCAGGGGTTTACCAGACCCAATATGCACAATTTTTGAAACAGCTACGATACATTTTCCTCCATTTTACAAAATTGGTAGTAGCAGATCATTAAACAGATCCAAATGTTGATTAATGAAGAGGATTTTGATTCATGGCGCTGACCTTTGAGTTTGACCTCAACGTTTTCGCCAGTGTAGGCCATCTCTGTCTCCTCCTTGTCTGCGAATATGCTCAGCACACTAACTTCCTTCCTCGCAGGCATCAGCACCACCTCACTCTTGCCCACTGCCCCCAGACCCGCTGTGCCCTTCGCGGCTGCCACCAAACTGATGAAGCCACTTTCTATTTTTCCACAGACCACCACACCCATGTCTTTGTACTTGCCCGCAATAGGTAATCTGAGCAAAATGGAAAAATATGGATCAATGTAGTCTAACAGAAGAGCAATCACTGAGCCTCATGACAAAGTAGATTCAAAGTCAATTAATACTGGATGGCTTCATTTGAAAGAAATTGTTCAAATGGAACTAATTTGAAGATTCTTTTCGTTACCAAATCTATCATGTCCAAAGAGAAACAGGTACTTCATACCTTACATGATTCCTAATTACAAGTCAAATTAGACGAAGCGTTGCATAAACTGACAATCGAAAAAATGAGTGAATGAACCGTATATTGTTACACTTTTACCTTAGAGGCCCGTCCATACGTTTAACTTTGGGCATGTCATCTAGAAAAGTGAGGAGCGATGACCCATCATAGTGCGGGAAGGGGTTGGGGGACGGCATGTCCTTAATAAAGACGCCAGTGAGTCCAGAAATAGGCATGAAGTGGAAATCGTCCTTCTTAAATCCAGACTTCTTCAGAAAAGGCGTCAGTTTGTTTACTATTTCTTCGTATCTCTCCACGCTCCATTCAACAGTTGGGTCGTCCATTTTATTTATAGCCACAATTACATATTTAACTCCGGCTGTTTTAATCAACATTGTATGTTCTCTCGTTTGACCTCCCTTTTCAAACCCGGTTTCGAATTCTCCTTTTCGAGCCGAGATAACCAAAACTGCAACGTCCGCTTGTGCAGCTCCTCCAATCATGTTCGGAACATAGCTTCTGTGGCCTGGTGCGTCCAGAATTGTGAATGTTTTGGCTTCTGTTGCGAAACTAGCTCTACCAACGTCCACAGTTTTGCCCTTTTCCCGTTCCTCCGCATTTGTATCTAAGGCCCAGGAAAGAGCCCAAGATTCTCTGTTTTGGTCCCTGGCATCTCTCTGGTACTTTTCCAGAGTCCGCTGGTCCACTTCTCCTGTGAGGTACATGATTTGTCCACCGAGTGTAGACTTGCCAGCGTCTACGTGTCCGACGAAAACCAAGTTTAAGTGTTCTTTCTGGGGTGCCACAGCCTCTTTAGGTGGCACTGGGATCTGTGGTACCGACTTCACGGCTGTGGTCTCCTCGACTTCTGGGGATTCTTCATTTTTGATTGACGTTTCAGAACACTCTGAAGAGAGCACGGAATCTACTGCTTGGCTAAAATACACCAATATTCCCATACAGCTAAGGATATTATTCTTATTAGACAGTTAAAGCACATCACAAAGATGCAATCATTTAACCTGTCGTTGAGGTGAAAAAAGTTAAGTCAATATGGTGCACACCTCAGCTTAAAAATTTCTAATCTTTTCGACAGACCACAGTGGGGGGGATTATGCCTGATGTGTCCAATGAAGGAGGTCTAAATTGGTATCAAATCAAAAGTACACGTCACGTACTTGTCTCCGGCTGCAGTTTCAACAACCATTTTTTCATTGGTATCCTCATCAAGTGGTTTAGCTGGATCATCGTCCATCCTATCCCAATCGTCCGGGGCCTCTTGCATCTTAGCTTGTCCGTTGCTCAGTCCATTCACTTGTTGACTGGGTTCCGGCGGCGGCGGTTGTTGCGGTGATGAGACTGCTGGTGGTGGGGGTCCCCAAGATGGAACAAAAACTGCGGCGTTCACATTCAGTCCCCCAAACTGAGACTCCATGTCTCCATTCATACCAGACATTCAGATCTAAAAACAAGCGATGTAGTTTAGTGAAATACTACAAGGCGAATCATAGCAAATACAAATTTGAATCTAAACTATCATTTAGAAAGTCATGCCTTCTGAATCGAGGCGAACTAAAACTATTCATTGCGATCAGTAGAAACAAGGCAGAATTTGTCAATTTAAATAGGAAACACATTTTTATACTCATAGCACAAAAATGCAATACAACAAAACAAAAACAATCTGCACAATGAGGAGAGATTTTTAAAGAGTTTTTGGATTTTGCACTGAAGCGAGGATCAGGAGCCTCTGCCTCGGCCTCCCCCAAAACCTCTTCCCCCGCCTCTGTCGCCGCCTCGGCCACCTCCACCGAAACCTCTTCCTCCGCCTCGGTCGCCGCCGCCTCCTCCAAAACCTCGACCTCCTCCCCCGAAACCTCTTCCTCCGCCTCGATCACCGCCGCCTCCGAAACCTCGACCTCCTCCCCCAAAACCTCTTCCTCCACCTCCTCGGCCGCCAAAACCTCCACCGCCACCGCGTCCACGACCCCCTCCTCCGCGGCCTCCTCTTCCACCTCGTCCTCCCACTCCGCCTCGCGGACCACTAGGTGCTGGATTTGTGAATCTTGAAATTGGCATCAGTTTATAGGGATCGATGTACAATTTGGTTTCTGCGTTGAACGACTTCGCTTTCACGTTTTCCACAGGTGTCACTGAAAACATCCAATCTGCTGTCGGACCAAAAACATCATCTATTTTTCCAAGCTGCTGTTTTGATTCTGTGTAAATATTAGCGTTGAAAAATGGCACTTTTTCATTATTTGCTGCTTTGCACACCATCAGATTTTCAGCCGAGTGTATGAAAGTTCCGACGAATTCCACTCGTTCAGGGGGTCCCATGTCTTGCCAGCCCCCTCGACCACCGCCTCTGTATCCCCCTCCGCCGCCCCTGTCACCCCCTCTTCCTCGGAAACCTCCTCCTCCTCTCCCTCTTCCGCCTCCTCTGTCATATCCCATGTTCACCTCTGAAATGTGGCAAACACTTAAAACAAATGCAGTCCTAAAAAGTAAAAAAAAATACTATCAATTTCTTAAATATCTTAAACTCTCTAGTCTATTAGACAGAGGTGAAGTTGCACTGCGCATATAAAGCAAAAAAACGAATAACTCAAAAAGTCGTAACTGTTAATTTCACTAATAAGAGCTTTTAGCAGATATTTTAAGGAAAAAGAACACTGTCAGACACCCATATTCAAAACCAAAACTTAAGACACCAATATTCAAAACCAGACGTATCAGACAGAGGCGAAGCGGAGCTTCGCGCCACTTGCGCTACAACACAAACATAGAAAAAACATAAGTCGAAAAAACCTTTAAATGTTGAAAAAAACTAGGGGAACCAAAAATTTCATGTCTCGATAAAAAAAACAACTAGCGGTCCAGCTGAAGCTGGAGATACGTGTTTGATATTAAATGAAATTGCTATACTGATGCGGCACGAAACAAGTGGTTTCAAAAGTTGAACTTAAGTAAGAGGAGCAAAAATTTTTGAGATAATCAATTTTCCCAAGGAGATAACATATCTCACACAGAAAATTAAGGAGTCACTGCTTCTGCAAGAACAATTATAGCAACCGGTTCTTTAAATTGATCTTTTCATCTCAGATATGATTGAGTAAATTTTAAGAAAATTCGAAAAATTTCTAAAAAACGATCAAAAAGTCAAAAAAACGGTCAAAAGACTTTTCAAAATTCATAACTTTTTTTCTGCAAAAAGCAAATTGTGGCCGTTTAAGCAGAAATGATTCCCAAAACCGAGTTTCTCGATTGAACACCTCGATTGAGCCTGAGAATTGTCATCGTAGTTTTCGTGTAAAAACAAGTTTCCAAAAAACTGTCAAAGTTTCAAAACATTGACTTCTTTGAAGGCTACAACTTTTTTCTAACAAACTGGGCATAGCAAAACATAAAAGAGGCTTTCAACAACCTGTTGTTTTGATTAAAGCTATGATAATGGATTTGGCAGGATAGTTAGCGAGAAAAGTCCAAAAAAAGGTCAACAAACAATAAAAAAATTGACATTTCCAAAATCATAGCTTTTTGTGTGAAAAATGGGGTCGTAGCCGCTTATGCAGAAGGAATTCACTCAATATAAGATTTTAATTGAACAAAAATCTCAGAATTGAGTGCGTAGCTCTCGAGAAAAGTCATAACTTTAACAAAAAGTTCAAAAAATCTAAATTTTGACTTTTCCGAGGCCATAACTTTTGGTGTCAGAAAAAATCGGGTGTGTTCGCACAAGCAAAAGAGGTTTCACAACCCGTCCTTTGAATTGAAAACAAAATCTCAGATTTGGCAGGGTAGTTTTCGCGAATATTCAAAAAGTTTAAACGGCCAAACAATTAAAATTTTTACTTTTCCGAGGGCGATAATTTTTTGTGTAAAAACTTTGTGATTGGCCCAAAAGTCAGGGTAGCTTCCCACTACCTATTATCTCTATTGAAACCACAATATCAGATTTCAGAGGCCAGTTTTCTAAAAAAAAGTCAAAAAAATTCACAAAACGCTCAAAAGTCAAAAATTTGACTATTCCGAGGGCCATAAATAAACGTTTTAAAAAAATGGGTGTAGCCGTTTCTGCAGAGAATTTTTCAACACTATTCTTATCAAGAGGGATAGTTTTCGAGAAAACAAAAAAAATCAAAAATATGGGTCAAATATTCCCCCACAGACTATTTCGAAGGCTGTAGACAGAGGGGTTAAGTGACAAGAGACTATAGGGGAGTATGCAGGCACACAAAGGAGTAGGCGGCCTTACAAATGATACCCCTTTTGAAACCAAAAAAAACTGAATTTTTCCAATTTATTGGGAAATAATTTTCCAGAACGAAAAAAAGAAATTTCAACAAACGATTGGAAAAAAAAACCAATATGAAAAGTGCTGAGAAGAACCCTAAAATTGTGATTGCCATGAAACGACCCAAAAGTAGGTCATTAAGCCGACAAAAATTAGGCCGAAATAATTTGGGCCGACGAATTTTTTTCTACCAGAACAAAAAAGAACAAAGAAAATAAGTCAAGGTAAGTAAAATTACTGGAGTAAATTGTAGGAGTAATTCAAACACTAAAAGCAACAGCAAGAAAATATGCGCGCAGCAACAAAAACGATTCAAAGACGTTACAACTAAGCTGGCAACAGATAAGCAGACAACTAATTGTCCGAAAGTTTTTTTAAACAACAAAAAAAGAAAATATACAAAATCAAGGTTACAAATTGCAGGAGTAAATGAAAACAAAAAGCTGCTTAAATTAAACTGCATTCAGTAAAAAAATCTAAGACGTGGCAACTAAGCCGACATAACATAAGCAGACAAATAATACACCGAAAAAAAACAGGCCCTGCTCAGATTCGAACCCAGGAACTTGCTGTCCACGGCGTATTAGTTACCCTCAAAATAAGTGTGCTTATTCCACGCTTAGAAGTTTGACTTCGTTATGAACCAAGGTACCAAGTGATTCAATTGATTCTGTTTAACAAGTTGCGAAAAAAGTCTACATTCCGGTTTGATAAAGCATGCTAATCACAAATGTAAATAAAATACGTACCTGAATCGCAAACAGCCTCGAAACTAATGTAACTAAAAGCCATAATTCTAAACATAGCCAACAGAGAGTTGAAACACAGAGGCGAAGCAGCGCTTCGCGAACACTAGTAAGAAAACGGCAAAATATAGCTCTAAAAGCAAAAACAAAAGAGGCGACGCGGAGCTTCGCACCAATTGCGATAAAAAATAAACATAAAAAATAATGAATTCGAAAAGAGATAACGTTGGAAAAAACTAGTAGCCTATCTAAAACTGGAGGTACCTGTTTAGAATTTTTGAATTTGTTAAACTGATGAAGGATGAAATGAGTAATTTCGAAATTTCAAAAATTGGACTTCGTTCAAAAAAATTATTTGTTTCTCTTGTAAAATCAATATTAAGAGAAAATTTTTGAGACACTGGAATTTTCCCAAGGGCATAATATTTTACCTACAAAAAATCAACGATTCGCCATTTCTACAGGAAAAATTCTTGCAAACATTTCTTTCGATTGAACCCTCAGATTTGATTCGTAGTTTTTAAAAAATTTCTAATACAGACTCAAAAATTCAATAAATAGACTTTCCGAAATCCTTATTTCTACTGGGTTTCTCGATTGTATATTTACCAACAAAATCAACAAACATTTGAAAGAGTCAAAGAACGCAAGTAAGCAGAAAAGTATTTCCTTGCTTGATTTTGAAAAAAATCTAAGTTTTCGAATTTCCAAGAAAAGAATGGATGGCCCAACAGCTTTTAAAACTGACAATTTTTTGATAAAATTAACCCAATTTGAGAAAACTGGACCAACAATCAAAAGTTTTTATTCGCTGGTTAATCTGACAAGACACATGCTCTCGCAAGTGTAATGATTGAATTCCATTTTCGAAATTAGAAGTCGATCATGTTTTAAGTGACCTTCGCTGTTCGATAATTGAGTTTGTCTTCATTTTAACAAAGGAAATGAACTAATTTTAAAAGGAAATCAAAAGTCAAACCGCGAAAAACTAAATAAGATTCTCAACAAACTTTAGGAATATTCCTTAAAAAAACAATCGACTAAAATCATCACGACCTATATAAGAGTCTGAACTACATTTATCGACTCGTAAAAAACTAGGTTAGGTTGGAACACGAAGCGCAGACCTTATGATCGGAGTATGTTATAACTCTAGACCAGGTAAGAAGGGCCTTAAGATATTGAGCGATCTCATTTTCTAACAGACTTGTAAGAAAAAAAACCAGACAATCCAGACAACAAATTCAGTAGAAAAAAACTTTATCAATTTGAAAAAAAACTTGATTACCAAATAATTGATCTAGTTGTCAACCCATACCCAAATCATGGAGTGGCACATGGTCACTTAATAAACCACGGTTGAAAAACATAGCCAACAGTTGGAAAAGAGTCAATGAACGCAAGTAAACAAGTAACAAGACTTGTTTTTTTTTTTTGAAAAATTCTCAACTTTCGATTTTCAAAGACAAAAAATTGAAGCCCTTAAATCTCTGAATTTCTAGAAAAAAAATATTATTTGATAAAATAAATCCAATTCCAAAAATAACATAAGCAGACAAATAATACACCGAAAAAAAAACAGGCCTTGCTCAGATTCGAACCCAGGAACTTGCTGTCCCAGGCGTATTAGTTACCCCCAGAATAAGTGTGCTTATTCCACGCTTAGAAGTTTGACTTCGTTATGAACCAAGGTATCAAGTGATTCAATTGATTCTGTTAAACAAGTTGCAAAAAAAGTCGACATTCCGGTTTGATAGAGCATGCTAATCACAAATATAAATAAAATACGTACCTGAATTGCAAACAGCCTCGGAACAAATGTAACTAAAAGCCATCAACTTAACTCGTTTAAAGTGCTAAGCATAGCCAACATAGTTGAAACACAGAGGCAAAGCAGCGCTTCGCGAACACTAGTAAGAAAAAGGCAAAATATAGCTCTAAAAGCAAAAACAAAGAGGCGACGCGGAGCTTCGCACCAATTGCGATAAAAAATAAACCTAAAAAATAATAAAGTCGAAAAGAGATAAAGTTGGAAAAAACTAGTAGCCTATCTAAAACTGGAGGTACCTGTTTGAAATTATTGAATTTGTTAAACTGATGAAGGATGAAATGAGTAATTTCGAAATTTCAAAAATTGGACTTTGTTCAAAAAATTATTTGTTTCTCTTGTAAAATCAATATAAAGAGAAAATTTTTGAGACACTGGAATTTTCCCAAGGGCATAATATTTTACCTACAAAAAATCAATGATTCACCGCTTTTACAGGAAAAATTCTTGCAAACATTTCTTTCGATTGAACTCTCAGATTTGATTCGGTAGTTTTTAAAAAACTTCTAATACAGACCCAAAAATTCAATAAATAGACTTTCCGAAATCCTTATTTTTTACTGGGTTTCTCGATTGTATATTTACCAACAAAATCAACAAACATTTGAAAGAGTCAAAGAACGCAAGTAAGCAGAAAAGTATTTCCTTGCTTGGTTTTGAAAAAAATCTAAATTTTCGAATTTCCAAGAAAAGAATGGATGGCCCAACAGCTTTTAAAATTGACAATTTTTTGATAAAATTAACCCAATTTGAGAAAACTGGACCAACAATCAAAAGTTTTCATTCACTGGTTAATCTGACAAGACACATGCTCTCGCAAGTGTAATGATTAAATTCCATTTTCGAAATTAGAAGTCGATCATGTTTTAAGTGACCTTTACTGTTCGATAGTGGAGATTGCCTTCGTTTTAACAAAGGAAATGAAATGATTTTGAAAAAAGCCAGAAGTCAAACCGCGAAAAAGTAAATTTGAGCCCGGACAAACTTTGAAACTATTCCTAAAAAAGCAATCGAATAAAAAATCATCACGACCTATATAAGAGTCTGAACTATGTTCATCGACTCGTAAAAAACTAGGTTAGGCGGGAACACGAAGCGTAGACCTTATGATGGGAAGCCGCGTGTTCTAACTGTAGACTACGGAGAACGGCCTTAAGATAATAAGCCTCCATTATATAGCGCGCTCAATTTCTAACAGATTTGTAAGAAAAGTAGTTTACGGCAAAATTCCAGATAACAAATTCAGTAGAAAAAAAACTTTACCAATTTGAAAAAAAAAACTGGATTACCAAATAACTGATCTAGTTGTCAACACAAATCATGGCGCGGCACATGGTCACTTGATAAACCACGTTTGTAGAACATAGCCAACAGACAGTTGGAAAAGAGTCAATGAAAGCGAGTAAACAATAAAAAAACCTCTTTCTTGTTAAACCTCTTGAATTTCTAAACATAAATATTTTTTCATAAAATAAACCCATTTCCAAGTAAAAAATTTTATTTCGCAAGCAAATCTGAAATTCGAAAAAGTAAATTTGAGTCTGGATATTTGAGTAAATTCGAAAAAGTAAATTTGAGACAAACTTTTTATTCCTGAAAAAAAAAAACAATCGAAAAACCCATCACGATCTATATAAGAGTCTGAACTACGTTCGTCGACTCTTATAAAAAACAATTTAGGATTGCTCAGTGAAGTTTTTCTTTTCAAGACCAAATTACAGCCTCAACAGACAAACAAGGTATCAAAACTAATCTACACAGAAATTTGTACAAAAATCAAATTAAGGAAAGCACAAATTAGGTTGAGAAATGCTCCGTTTCCACGTGACTAATCAACAAATGGCGTCTTGGAAACTCATCTCCGCATTGATCACAAACGTGTTTCGGTTGAGCTTCGTGGGCTTTCTTAATATGTTGAATTCTCGCTATTTTGTCCACGAATGTTTCCGAGCAATGGGGACAATCTAACATCCAACTTTTGCCGGACGCTTTCAGCACAGATTTTTTTGATTTCTCGGCCTGCTTTCTATGCATCTCCTGATCTTTGTCATAATTCCACTTGTACTTGAAGCTTCGGTTGCACTCTTTGCACTTGAAAGTCGACTGCTTATCTTTCCCGCTGGGAGTTCGCTTAACTTCCGATGGACTAGCTTGTTCGCTGTGTGTAACTTCAATACTGGTGTTAAGATTTGCTGACTCGAACTCACTGAAGTCTGGAAAGTCCGTTTCATCTGTAACAACCTATTAAAAAGCATTAAAAGCTTTATTAAGAACTCATCAACAGCAATCGAACGTTCAACACTAGTATACAGAAAAGTGCAAACAGCACGGTCATTTCGAGCTCAAATTCTAAAACCGGACTATCTTAATAACAAATTTTAGGAATCGAACATATACTGTTAGAACGTACCACGTTAACAGATGAGTCATCCAAGTTATTTTCAGGCAAATCCTCAGTCTCAACCAACTCCGGTGCGTCGTAGGAAGAGGCATTCTGGTGCGTGTTGTGATTTGAATGAAGAGCTGACACATGTGACTTGAGTGATTCGATGTCTGGTAGCATTAGCTTGCAAATTAGACACTTTTTCGGCTGATTGCGTTTGGCTGAAACAATTCAGTCGTCAAATTAATTTATTTCCTTTGAACTAGAAGTGGATCTATGATTTGTGCAAGGGAAGAGAGGCGTTTGTGGAAAATGTTTTTTTTTGTACCCACGCCATGTAAAAATAGTTGATCCACGCCTGGATTTAAATAATTATTTATCCTTTGTAGATTTTCGTTCAGAATTACTCATAACTTACGCAATGGAGGCTCTCTGGATTTTTTGGCTTTCGGCTTGTGTACGTCAGACACGTGTTTTTTCAGATCCCCGAAGCTATCGAAAAACTGCATGCAAATCAAGCACCTGTTTCTCCTCAATGGACCTGAAACAGTTGACAAAATTGCTAACTCCGTGAAATCGAAAATTGCGTGTGAAACCAAAAATGCGTTGAAATACTACGAATTGATTGGTATACTGATCAAAATTCTTTAAACTATAATGCCAAGTTCACTTTATTTCGATGAACTTTCAAAAAATGCATCATAAAAAGAGAAGTGCATTTGTTTTATTCATGATTCAATTCAAATCAATTGAACAAAAAATACATTACAGATTTAGCCAGAAAAAAGCTTGCTGGCAGTTGAAAATGTTTGAATAACAAGGAAAAAGTCAGAACTACAAAAAATATTAAGTACCATCGTTAGCCACGATTAACTTTTCTATTTTAGAGATTGAAAATGAACCTGGTACAAAGAATGACACCACTATTTGACAACACTAACCTGAAGATTGAGGAGCAGACTTGGAGGTTGTTTCAGTCAAACGCGGCTTTTTGGGAGGGGCCATCAGAACAGCTGAAGACACTTCTGAACAAGCCATGGAATTGTGTGTAGTGTCCAACTGATGATTGGGTAAATCAGAGAGACTCGATAGGATGTCTAAACAGTGTATAAAAAACTTTAGTTAATAACTTCTCTCGCGCAGCTTCTTGTTTAATAGAAAAAATCAACTAGAAGAAATGGTTCCTGCCTTAAAATGATGATACAGAGGCGAGTGAAACCTTCGCAAAAAGCTAATACCACAATCGGGAAAGCAGTTCACACAAGCAAAGCTGCATTACTAAAAAACGGCTGAAAACGCCGCTTAGATTTTGAGCAGCAAAAATGTGCTGTAAAATAGCGACCATAGCTAAATAATTTGTAAGTAACGCAAGAAATTTGCAAAAAACAATACTTAAAATGTCAATTTGCATTGGAAAAAATTGAATCACAGTTTATCATACACTATCAAGCTCTTTTGTGCAACTATGGCATTTTATTATGTGCTATAAAAAAATAACCAAAAAACGTGTTAAAAATAGGTCAAAAACAAACCACATGTTTTATTTAATAATTGTAGAAAAAAAAATAGCCAACATAATTCGAACTTCAAAGACAAACTGAAAATTTCGAATTTCAAAAAAAAAATGGCCTTGAAGCGTTTTGAATTTATGGACATTTTTTTAATAAAAGAAACCTAATTTGAGAAAACTGGACCAATAGGTAAGTTTTTATTCCGGTGGACAATCTAAAAATTTAAATCCACTTGTGAAACTAGAAGTCGATCAAATGTTTCGTGACCTTTGCCCTTTTTATGTTCAATATTTGAGGTGGCCTTCCTTATCAAAATTTAGCGTGAACAAGTTTTAGAAATTTTCCTGAAAAAAAAACAAACAAAAAAAATCACCGAGACTTAAAGAAATCGAAATATATGTAAAACAACTTCGTTGATGAATAAGTAAAGACAAAGATGAGGCTGACCTTCGCAAGCACTAGCGAGAAAACGACAAAAAATCGGCACTACTATTTGAACCTGTGATCGGATTTGAACCTGTGATTTCGATAGTTGGACTCTGGAGAAGTGTCAAGTTGGAGAAGTGTCAATGAACTCAAGGAAACCGAACAAAAAATGACTGACTTTTTACCAACCTTGGAGTTTCGAAGAAAAAGTAAATAACTTACAGCTCTTTCATTTTGAAAAATTAATGACTGAAATTCTTTGCTAAAATAAACCAAATCGAGAAAACTGGGTCGATGGATTTTTTTATTCTATTGGAAACGTAAAACTTGATTTCCACTTATTGGACTAACCAATTTCATTTTTCTTATTGAAGAGTAATTTGCCTTCCATTTGCCAACTGAATCTAAAACGAACTTCTTACACGATTTATATCTTGAAATATCTTCAATTCGTTTATTGACGCTGAATAAAATATGCTAGTAAGATCAACAAAATATGTTGAGCAGGGGGCATCTTTCATGATGGAGACCGAATGATATAAAACTATTTCAGGCCAAACAGAAAACTCTAATTTGAAAAAAAAGTTAAGATGCGCGATCACAACCAAAGACACATTTCTGCAAAAAAATTAATGTTAACGAATCAATTTTTTCAAAATCCCCCCAGACACACTGCTGAAAAAACAGTGATATATTTCCTGTCTAGTTCCTTGATAAGAACAATTAGCTTACCGCGATTCAACTTTGACTGGTTGCTGAGCCGAACTAATTAGTCGCCTGCTTGACGCGTTAAAAAAACAATCGTGAACAGCGTGCGTTGAGTATCACAAACGGGGCAAAATCACAATTTTCAAACACCCCCTCCCCCAATTTATTGAAAATTAAATATTCGCAGGAGAACTCTTTTATTTTGCAGATAATGATTGTTTAAATGGTTTAAGAAATTACAATGGTCTGTATGAATATTCTCAGTATCGATTGTTAATTTAGCGCTCGGTTATATGCATCTACTGTAATGAAACAGAACATAAAAAAAGCTTTGCTTGGAAAAAATGCACTCATAATACAACACAAGCGTTTGCTAGTATACAGAAAGCAAACGCACGACAAAATAATCATTATTAGCAGAGTTCAACATCAGTGGTATCAAACACAAAGCACCTCAAAAAATATTAGCCCAGTGTAAAACACAGAAGCGACCTCGCAAACACTAGCGAGAAACAGCCAAAATTAGCTCTAAAAAGGTTTAAAAAATAGATAACATAGCCAAAAGACAGTTGGAAAAGAGTCAATGAACGGAAGGAAACTGAAAAAGAATTAAATTGTTTTTGATAAACTTCAACTTTTCCATTTCATAGAACAATATGGCCTTAGAGCTCTTTGAATTTCAAGAACAAGCTTTGATTAACATTTTTTGATAAAATTCACTCAATTTGACAAAACTGAATGAAAAGGTAAATTGTTGATTCCGCTGGCAAATCTAACAATTTAAATCAAATTTCGACACTCAAAATTGTCACGTTCGTATTTAGAAAGGACAATTAAGGTAATTTTAGCAAAATGCATATTTTTTTTTTGCTAAAACATATGATAGCTATCCTACATATGATACCTAAAAGTTATCATAAAAACATTAATACATATGAAAGTAATCTGTAGTTAATAAAACATTTTAAGAATTTTTCATGATAAGTCGCCACGACCTCAATAAGAATCTTCACTGCGTTCAGTGACTCTTACTAAAGAAAGAAAGAGCGAAATTAGATTCTTTAATTCGGTTGAAAAGCCTATAATACTTTTAAATAGAGGCGAAGCTGAACTTCGCATAACTTGCGATACAACGCAAGCGCATCATTGCAACCTAGCGAATAGAAAATGAGACAGAAACAAGAAAATCGGAAAAATTGGGGGAAAAATGAAAACAATAAAAGAAAAACTTAGTTTCGACAAGTTGAAAAATCGGAAAAACTGGGGGAAAATGAAAACAATATATGAAAAACTTGTCGAAAAATATGTCGAAAAACATAACCCACCAGTATAAAACTAAGTAAAACAATATGTCGAAAAACATAACCACCAGTATGAAATGAGCTTGTAGTATTTACCAAGCGGCATCTAAGCCGTCAAAAAGATGGTAGACGCCAATTGATCTGTAAACAAAATATATCATAAAAATTTTTGGGCTATTAAATGTTAAAATTTTGAAATCTGGCTTTCAATCATTTTTTTGCTTTTGATGCAGCAGAAAATAAAAAAACTAAGCCGATAAAAAAAGCCGAAACCACTTAGGCCGAATAAAGCTTTTAAGCAGAATAAAGAAGGAAAACCAAGGAAATATACAACGAAGGGTAGTAATTTTACAAATGACAGTGAGCCAAAAACACTCATTTACGATGAACATATTCAAAAAGTCGCAAAAAAATTATTATTTAAATTTCAGATATAATATTTCAAACAACAAAGTCGTCAATGACAATTCAACGGAAAGGTAAATTTAAAAATTCTACAAGTAATGGAAAACTCAAGGGCGTAAAATAACCTGACCTTCGTGGTCGAATGAGATGTCGTCGGTCTTCATGTCTGACACTGACATGTGACTGCCATCTTCTAAAGTGTCTCCATTTGCACTGTATTTGAAAGCGTCTCCTCCTCCATTCATGCGATTGCGGTGATTATCCGAGGAGTACATCATTGGAAAACGAGGCATGTTCACGCTTTCTTTCACTAAACAGAAACGAGAGCTATTTGTAGGACAATTTCCGGCTTTTTCCTGTCCCCAAATTTTCAAACCTCCTAACTTCCTGAAAAAAATCTCAGGTGAAAAATAAGCCAATGAATCTGTATGTCTCTGATGGTGTAAAATTGTGTCATGAGTAGAAAAAGGAAATTAAATTTTTTCTATTTCAACGAAGACGGTTATTGTACAACAACAATTTCTTCTCACAAGTATCAAAAACGATTTTGAGTTTAAACAATCGGAGTGATATATAATTAGGAGGCAGATTCAAGTTAAATAGCTGGATCGCTCCTCTTTGTTATACTTCTAACAATATTTGTAATTTATTTCAAAGCCAAAATTTTTTGGCAAAAGTAGAGTAAAATTTGAACTTTTGGTTAACATTTCATCTGGCAGAATAATATATCTACAAAATCATTCTTAGTAGCATGTACAATTGACTGAAAATGAAATTAGTATAATCGGCATTATAGTTCGCTAGTTTAATACATGCACTCAGGCGCGGATCTAGGATTTTCTCAAGGATGTGGGCTGATTTTCTGAGCTATACCAAATCTTTATAAAGACCTTATTTTGTCCAACTTTCTGAGCCACAGGCAAATTTTTCAAAAAACAGGCGTAGTTGGCACTTTTTGAAAAACTTTGACCCAAAAAATTGCGTTTATTCGGCAAGCCCTCTCCCTCAAAATTATTTTATATTGCCGCCGAAGGCGCTTTTAAACAAAATTTTATGGTCAGTAAGCCAAAAACGGATATCTCAAAATAGTACTAAGGGGGACCAAATACGCATATTAATCATAAAATGAAGTTATTATAGAATGTCTTCATATCAGGTATCAAAATGTCTCTTGCAGAAATGACATCAATTCAAACAAGAAAATGCATTTAAGCGATTGCGAAACCCAGTCTTTCCAGTCGCGCGACCTCTTGAATTACCTTGACACAATTACCTTGATGCATTTCTTCCACGTGGTCCTTGAGGTATTGCTCGTGCTCAAACACTTCGTCACAGAAGTTACACACTGGGTTATGGCCATTCCCTGAAATGAACAAGCCAAATTGAAATGCAGTAACACAAAAAAGATCACTCGCTGTTGTACTCAGCTCTTTAACTTTTCCCTCACTTCTGTAAGTATTAGAGCACTTCTGTAGTTATAAGAGCATTTTGAGACTTTTTGAAAAAACAAAAATATCATCAAGAACTATATAAGTGAAAACCACAACGTTCTTTTACACTTAATAAATTCACTGTTAAATTGATAACTATTTCTGACCTGGAAAGCCCATATTCCAAAATTCAGTATTAATTCACCATATCCTAAAAAAGCCATAGATCCTGAAAAAAAAACACCTTAGAATCATTAGAAATTTTACTAGGGGCTTTTGGAATGCTACAACGAAGCCGAACCTTCAAAAACAATCTTTCTGTTGGAACTAAGCCGACAAAAACAATAGTCTATAATCGCAAGTGTAAAATAGCCGTATACTTTTGTTAGCAAAACAGCATGTCCCGACTGGAATCAAACTCCCAGGCTTTGTCGCCTCAAGCATGGTTATCACTGCGCCAAAAGCAAAGAATAATCCTTGAATTTTAAATTACAAACATAGCCGACAAACATTTGGAAATGAGTCAATGAACGCAAATAAACATGAAAATAACTTTTTTTTTGAAAAAATCTCAACTTTGAAATTCAAAAGAAAAAAAATAGATGGCCTTAAAACTCTTTTAACTTCTAGAAAAATTTATGATTGACATGTTTTTGCTAAAAATAATTCAATTTGAGAAAACTGGATCGATAGGTAAATTTTTTATTCCGCTGGAAAATCCAAAAATTAAATTCCACTTTCGAAACTAGTAGTCGATCATGTTATTTGTGACCTGAACATTTTTTGCTGTTCGATAGTAGAGTTTGCTCTCCAACAAAGTAAATGAACTAAGCTTAAAAACGAGTTAATAAGTCAAACCAATGGTGACAAAATTTGAGTACCATAAGACGTCATTTCGTTTTTTTGTATGTGTCCCGCACGCATGCACACTTCCGCCTACAACAACGAAAACTACAGTTTTTTTTCTTCCAAGAACCGATCATTTTTTAGTCAATTTATTATTTCCTAAAAAAAACATTTCTAGTTTTGTTTTGACTAACTATCTCTGGCAGCGTTATAATGATGTCTTTTTCAAATCCATCCTTTCTTTAGGCCGAGGTCGTTATCTCTGTTTACGTCGAGGCCGTTATCTCTGTGACGCTCTTTCAACCAATTTCTGATTTAGAAAATCGAATGATAACTTCTTAATTTACGTAAGCAACTTAAAGAGTGTCGCCATTTCTCTCAAAAACTACAATTTAACACACCTTTCAAACTCACCTTCAATTATTACAAGCTTTCAATTATTTTTCTAGGAAATTTACCAGGTTCGGTAGGCATTGGAGGCAGGAATTCAGTTGTTTTGATGTTGAACTTGTTGGGTCCATTCTGTTCATTGTCATCCCAGTCGAACTCCAGTTGCTGCCCTGAGAATGGCATGGACATTGATGTTTCTGCTAGCAAGTGGTCCAGAAAATCATCATCGTTCTCCTCGTCAACGCGGGACATATCTGCTTTATATTCAACTGTTTTCACTACTCTGCAGCATCTCTCATGTTTGCTCCTTTAAACAGTCAGCATTATCGAATTTAAACACCCTTTTTAATAGTCTAAATTATTTCTGAGGAACATATAATAATACTTTTATGTCACCTCTATAACCCCTCTATGACACTTGATCACATATTCATAAACCGAAGACTCAATCATCACGAGAGCGGAAAGGAACCTCAAAACTCACATTCAGCTCATTATGCCAAGCATGCGTTAGTTATTTACTGTTTATAAGCTTTTTTGGGTTGTTTTATGGCTAGGAAATATTCATTCACATTTTAAAGCAGTGACTCGAAGGTTATACATATGTGGGGCTTATTTCCCAGTGAAACCTGTAATAAAAAAATAGGCCAAGATATCATTTCAGAGTCTTTGCATTTTTCGCGCCATCAAAGAAAAACTTCCAGGCCAAGTGTTTAAATAAATGGAGTCAAATACGGCGGTTCTCAAAAACAACCCAAGTAAAGGAAAATAATAATAACAAATAACAACTATTTTAAACGTTACCTCCCATTTTCGGAATTGAATTTGCGTCTGCACCATCTGCAGAAGAAATATTTGCCATTTCCACTGTCTGAGGGCAACGAAGTATAACCGGAATGCACTTCTCTCGCGTGGTCGGCCAGCAGCGACTCGTTTGGAAATGATAGCTGAACAAAAACATCGCTGGTTGAATAGTTACAAAATTAAAGGCCCATCACTTCAGAAAGCTAATTGCCTGCTGTTGACTAAAATTGAGAGCAACTTTAATCAATTTTAAACAGAAAACTAAATTCTCCGAGATCTCCTTCAGTTGAACGTTTTCACGCAGTCACGATTCTCAAAATCTATTTGAAAAATTGGATCAATGGATAAATCTTTTATTCCAGTGAAAAATCCTAACATAGCCAACAGACTGTTTAAAAAGAGTCAATGAAAGCAAGGAAACAAGAAAAATACTGGCTTCAAAAAAAATAGAAGCCCTTGAACATTTGAGTTTCTAGAAAAAAACTATTTAATAATAGAACAAAAACTTCAACATCAGAACTACAAAGTCAAAAAAAATACATGGACCTGAAGCTCTTGGTATTTCAGGAAAGCATTTACTGGACACTTTTGAAAGAAAAATAAACTCAAATTGAGAAAAATGGATCAACGGGTAATATTTTGTTCCGCTAGGAAATCTCAAAACTAAAATCCTTTTAAGAAAGTTGAAGTCGATCATGTTTTTCTTGACTTTTACACATTTCGTTTAAGAAAGGAAAAGAACTGAATTTGAAAAGAAATCAAAAGCCAGACCGCGAAAAATCAAATATGAGTTTCATCAAACTTTAAGCCTTTTCCTGAAAAATAATATCATGGCCTACATAAAAGTCTTCACTGCGTTCATCGACTCTTAAAAAATATAATCCTATGTTCAAAATTAGAAGTCATTCAGAGAAACAAAAAAATTAAATCCACTTTGAAAACTAGAAACCGTTCAATTGGAGAGAGCAATTTATCTAAGTTGAAGCAGATGAATTCAAATAAAACTCAAAAAGTGCATATACACCTAAGTGAATTCATAAATCATGAATGCATTATTAGGTATGAATACCCTTTACACTTTTGCAGTTCGATTTCCCTCATTTTACCAAAGGAAATGAAGTGAACTTTAAAAGCCAAATGAAAAGTCAAACCGCGAAAAAATAAAATTGAGCGTGTACAAATTTGAAGACATTGGCTGAAAAAACCAAAAACAAATCTCCAAGACCTATCTAAGAGTACTCACTACGTTCATTACTCTTAATAAGACCTGACCAATTTCAGAAATTGGATACTTTTCTATTAAGCTGAGAAACCTTAGGCCATGATCTATTAAGACTCAAGCTACCCTTATGCACGCCATTTGGTATTGGAGAGCGTGATTAACGTTCAATTTGCAAAACAATTTAGAATGTGACCTTTGAAACAAATTAAAATCAAACCGTCAAATTATTTTAGTTAGCGTGAACAAATCTCAAGGTTTTTCAAGGTAAAAACCAAGACCAAACCAAGAGAAAAATGCAAATAACTTAACCCTTATTTCGGCTCTTTTTCCTCACCCTCCCCCAAACTCGAAAGTAAATTTTTGTTCACACTGTCCGATTGTTACAAAAAGTGGCACGTGTTCTAATTAACCCATTACAAACATATTTGGCCTTCATACTTAACCATATGAAACACCTCGTTACACCGTAAAACTGCCGCTTATGTGCGGTGCCGGGAATAGGAAAAGGACCCTAATAGGAAGAATAGCATCGAATTTTTGACCAATCAGATTGCAGAAAGCTCGATAGAACGCTCCAGTTTAAATTTACTGTTTTTATTTAGAGGGAAAGAGATTCTTTAGAGGATACCATAGGGATAGGGAGATATTGTTAAGTAGATTAAAATATTGCCATGAAAAAAAAACCGACCTCACAGACGACACATACGCACTGCCGCTGCAGTTTGTGTAGCTTTTTGTGTTTGTTGAGAAGCCACCTCTGGTTGAATCGACTGCCACATTCGTCGCATCTGAAATTCTTCCGCTTGACGAAACTCACTCCTGTTCTGTGGTTCTTCCAGTAAGCAGATGGGTGCAGATGCTCTACAAGTATGTGGTGTTCTACGTCTTGCAACTCTTTGAATCTTCGGTCACATCTCTGACACAGATGTGCAAGCCCACCCTCATGGTCACTTATTCTGCAAAAACAGAACAGGGACCAAATTAAGACAAGCAGACGAAGAAACCCCATACGAGCCTCTGCGAAGAACAACAACCGAAATCTGACGAGAAGTCGAATATAAAGATAAACAACAACTTATCACATACTTTACGGAGCTAAAGTATTTTCAGTTGCGAATTCAAACACCAACATCGTTTCTAATCCTGCGATTATTATGCAAACATTTCTAAATAGAACAAGGATAACCGATTACTGTGCATATAACATTGAAGGTTCCGACCATAGTCTTAAAAAAAACCATTTTTTTTTCAAAGTAGGGTCGTTTTTTCTGTTATAAAAAGATCTGAACGAAAAAAAATAGAAACTGGGCATAACCGACAGTCATAGTCAAACAGGCCAATTGGAAAACAGTTTTCAACTTTTGGCAGAACTTTTTGGAATTTTTGAACATTTTTATTCCCAAAATGGAGCTAAAAAACTCCAAAAACTTGCTCGAGTAAAACTAAGTTTTAAGGGCTTAATTAAGCTATTGTAAGCATGCACGTTGACCTTAATAGCTCATAATTAGACCAAAAATCAAAATTTCAAAGCGGTTTTTCTCGAAAATGAAAAATAAATTTTGCCTGATTTTGCGCGGATAACAAAAAGAAAAAAAGTTAAAACACCCGAATACAAAGTTCGGAATTTTTTAAATGGTCGGAACAAGTATTGTATTTTCGATTTTTCGGACCTAAGATACAAATCGCCAAAAGAAAACTCCATTAAGAAGACGATTAAATTGCATTTTTTTCAATTAGAGTTGAATTTTGACAAAACAAAGTTTTAGCAAAAAGATTATAGTGCAAAATACTTTGGAATGACGAGCCCAAACTTTTACACCAAAACCGATCAATTTCAGCTGTTTTAATCAATGAAAAGTTACGCCAGAACTACCGGAGCAATTGCTGATACAACTAAACCAACGTGAGTCTCTTATGTAGCCCAACGGCGAAAAATTTGAGCGAAACGTTCTAGAATTATTTCAAACAAAAACTGGTTTTTCATGTTGTAAAAATGACATTTTTGACTATCAAACGAAAATTCTTTTTTCTACTAAATTGGAATATTATACCGCGGTTACACTTAATTGGGCTTCATGAAAGACTCACTTTGGTATAGTTTTATCAGCAATTTATCCTGTAGTTCTCGCGTAATTCTTCCTTGTGCCGTATTTTGTCCGTGGTGCGATGAAAGTATCTGAACAAAAGCAAAGAACTTGTTCGGCAACAATTTTATTCGAAAAAATATAGAAAAACCATAAAAACCAACATTTTCATTTCGCGAAAAAGCGCTAAAGAAAATAACTAATTTTGCTGGAGTTTGAGAACAAAGTTTGAAACAAAGCTTCTTATCCTCTTATAATACTCCTAGTTCATTCGCTCCAAAATAGACTGAAATTAGAAGATTTCAAACCGGATTTTCCCAATCATGACAAAAACTTTTTGGAATTTTTTTCAATTCGTTCGAATCACAATTGAGTGGCTTTAATAAGATATCTCTATCGAAACTTCCGATTCTTATTTCAGGTACTTGGTTTTGAGTGGAAAAAATTTTCACCCTGTGCATGAAAACTTAATTTTGCTAAAGAAAGCGTAAACTCTCAGCTCAGCCAACGAAAATCAAGCGATTGTAGAATTGCTGATTACTAACGAATATTCAATTTAGACATACTCAGATATTCTTTCTTAACCTCAATCTTTTCATATTTGAAAATTCAGGATACAAGTTCGGGCTCCTACCTATGATCTAGAAGCGTTTGCTCAAAGAAGGACGCAAATTCACATTCATCGCAGTAGAACCGTTTCACGCCCAGTGCACAGTTGCGGAAAGCCTCACTTTCCGATTGTTGGTCTGATTGTACATTGACTTCGCCATTAGTTTCTTGAAAACTCGTGTCAAGTTCAGGAAAACTCGCCTCTACTTCTCCCGAAGCTGAAGACGACTTTTCATGGCTGCCTAAGATACCCGCAGCCATTGAATAATCTGAAAAAAAAGTTCTTTTTTAAAACTTTCTAAAATACTGCATGCAATCTGGTTAAAACAAAGCAATTTAGCGGTCGGTTTTGGCCTTAAAAGTTTTACAGACGAATTTATCTCAGTGTGTTATATATAGTGCTGTTTCCACATCTGCATAAGAGTTTCCAAGTGCATGTGTTGACTTCATTGTACATTTCGATCTGAGCTCTGATTAAGTCGGGGTAAGCAGTGATTGTAGTCTTTTTCCTTGCTGAGCGTCAGGTGAGTTTAAGGGCTCGTGGTCCGCAGGGAAAATGACTGCAATAGTGGTGCCACCTCCTTTCTTTAAATAGAGTCTAAAAAAACTGATGTGGAAGCTTGTTTCAGACTATTTGAAAAACCTTCATAAATTACATCTAATTCCAAAGAATCAATTTTTTGAGCAAATGCATCGATATTAGGGGTTGTAATTTCAAATGACATGAGCTGGAACCTACACATTGACAAAGAAAGCTTAAAAGCAAATGAAACTTTTTTTGCGATCAAAAGAAACATATCGAATTTAAACAGAGTAGCGAAACTGAATTTATTCAAATCCATGATAATCCCCGTGATTCTTTTCGCAAGTCCGTGTTTCGGTTTAAATAAGTACGTAAGCTCCGAATTAGAGACGATTCAGCGAAGAGCAGTAACATGGATTTGCGTTAATAGTGTCCCAAACAAAGAAAACTGGAAAGTACTAGGGATTCTTCCTTTGCCAATGTATGTTCAGCTAGAGAACTTGCTGTTGCTTTCAAAATTGATTTTGGGACGTTATGCGGCATGTAATCTAGACATACCATATTAAACAGAGTTCTCGCGCTCCAATTTGTTTCAGCTGAGACGTCCAAGGAAAGCCAAATGAAAACAGAACTTTATGTACCAAACCTGTCGACTTGCAAATGTGTTAAAAATCGATTTATAAGAAGGGATTGGCTTGAAACAACGACTCTAAAAATCTTCTGGTCGAAATTCGAGCAAAACAATGAGAGCGACAAGTGCACTTGGAAATAAGCGTGCGATTGTACGACGAACAATTGCAGAAATAGAACTGTTATATGAAACGAGAAACTTACGGGGTCCAAAACCCTTGTGTGAACCACAGAATTCATATTACAACTACCACTACTAATGACACGGTACCAGGTTTTTTTGAGGTTTCGCGTACCGGAAAATGTTTTTTTTTTATTTCGGATCAAGTTGTGCATTAAAACCAATTTGAAACTTTGAGATCTCAATTGGGAAGGCAAAAAAAAACAAGAAGGCTTCAGAAAACCTAGCAAGAGCAAGAAAGGTAGTGAGGAGGTGAATTCCTGAAAATTGGTGGCCCTCAATCATATACTATCTAATCCAGGAAGAAAGGTGCAAGGTTTAAAAGCTCAAAACGAAGCACGCTAGCAAGATTAACAATTTGATCTGAGAGCTAATTGTTGTAATAGACTTACTAAATAGATGTGATATGATAGCTGTTTGTGCCTGTTTGTCGAGCGGCCTTGGAGGGATTTAAGAGACAGGTCTGTCAAGTAGGTCTGTCAAAAACCAACAGATACAAGCATGCTTCTAAACTTCAGAAGTTGCGCACTGTTGTGAAGACAGCTTAGTGTAGTAAGCTTTATTCAATTATATCTGAAACACATCATTCAAAGTTACATTATTACAACATTCACCCGCACTTAAAATTGTAGCACTCAGCAGTTTGTAATTAGCTTTTCAGGAGCCTACCTGGGACACTGACTTTTTCGAGGAACGACTGTCCTTTCTTCAATCTCAGCTCGAGCGGGGTCGACCAACTCAGTTGTTACACTATCTGCTCGCTGTCCCACTTCATCATCCTGTCCTGGCGCCGAGTTGATACAAAGCTCTTGCGTCATATGCATACCTTGAGTATCAAATGGACGTGTTTCCGAAAACGTTAGAATTCACATTTTAATTACTTTTCTGCTGTCAAATAGGTCTCTGATCTGGGGGAAGGAGTTCCTGGCCTAGGTCGTCTGGTGGAGCGCCGCTGGTCAATCTGAGCTTGGATGAGGTTGTATTTTTTCAGCGAGATTTATAGATTTTATATTTTTCTTTAATTTAAGTTTGTATTAGTTTTTTCTTCACCAATTAAAGTCCAATCCTGTTATCAAGAGTTAGTTAAGTCCTCTTGTGTCCATCCAGTGAAATCTCCTTTCTTACCCTTGCGCCGCGCCTTCAGGATGAGGAAAAAGAACAAGAGTGAATCAGCAAAATATGCATAAAACCTTCGAGACTTTTAAATTGGATAATATGTGATTGTTGTTCTAAGTGGTATCATATCAATTGTGTGAATAAAACTCTTAGCAACTCTAAGAAAATCCAATGAATTCAATATACTATGTGCGTTGAGGTGAAACCTGTCAGTAATATTTCAATTGGTGATGACTTAGTGCTAGATATTTCTGTAAATAGAACCATTTCTAGTGTTCAAGTAAACAAGTGAGTACTTAAGGACTCGCGCGTTATTTTGGCAGAAATTCGTTTGTATAAAACGAATGATATTTTCTACAATGAAAAAAAAATTATTGTTTGTGGTTTTTCTGACGTCTTTCTTGTGTTTTCTTGAACAACCCAAGAGAAGTCTTCGGAGAAAAAAAACAGCTATGAGCTCTATAAAAAGCAAGAAATTAGAGCCAACATTGTTTCACTGCCTAAATCCCTTCCTCGATGGTCAAGCCCGCCCCAGACAGTTCTCGAGCAGAGAATAAAGCTAATCAGCAGGAAACTCCAGGAGGGAAATATAAAAGAAAGAATATAGCTGGCCACTTCAGCTGACAAGATTACAAGTTTTTCGATTCCTAACATCAAAAAATTGTTATCTAAACACCCAAAAACAGCTGATATAAACGCCCCAAACCCAGAAAGCGTCGATAACATTTCTGTACCTGAGTTTGAGATGTAGAAAGCAATTTCGTCTTTTCCAAATGGTTCGGGAGCTGGTCCGGACAGGATTGTTCTCCAAGTTTTTGAAGAACTTACGTGTAAATCAAACGGCAATTGGTGGCTCAATTTCTTGAATTCGATTACTTAGCTCCTAAATCTTATAAGTGAAGGTAAAGTACCCAAACAGCTAAGACTTTTCATTTTTGGAGCAAAACTTATTGCTCTCGTAAAAACAGAAGGATGTTTTTGACCAATTGCCATTGGCAATATGCTCAGGCGCATCGCGTCTAAATGCGCAGGAAGCAAAGCACTTGCAGACCGACAAAACTTTTGTGGGAGTTTTCAAGTAGGTACGATACTTAACGAGGAGCTGAAATTGCTGCACACTCCTTTAGAAACTTGATAGAGCGTGATGACAACCCGAAGTGCTCAGTTTTGTTTAAATAAGGTTTATGTAAGGCATTTAATATGCTTATTAGAGAAACTATGCTGAATCACCTTTTTATCGAACCGCCCGAAAATAATCTAATATACTGATTGCACCTCCAGTAAACCGAGTTATCTTTTTTTGGAAATCCCATCATTATGTCGGAGGACGGAACACAGCAATGTGATTCCGACACTCCATCGTCTTTTGCTGAAAAAGTACAGACATTAGTGAAAAAGTCTGATTCCATAAAAAACATTTGGTATTTAGATGATGGAAACCAAGCCGACGACTACAAGATAGTGTTCCGAGACCTCAAAAACACTGAAATTGGAAAAAAAACTATGGCTTAACCCTGAACAATGAAAAGTTTGAGCTAGAACAGACCACAAAAATACAATACATTTATCAGTGAATTTCAAAAGTTATTCCAACTTGTAATCTTGGGCTCCCCTATAGGCGAGTTGCTACATACGGGAATTGCTACAGGAAAGAATTGCTACAGGAGAGAATTGCTACAGGAAAGAATAACTGATATGGAAAAAATTTTGGAGGTTCTTGATAAGCTGGATACACATTATGGTTTTTACCTCCTAAAAATTGGTTTTCCATGCCAAAACTCCTATATTTTTCCTTTTTTTTGCAAAAAGATTTTTTTTTTAAACTACCATCGGATTTTGTGAACTCTTCTATGCAAGGTAACAAATGTAAAACTAATGATAGGCAATTTTTGCAAGCCATTCTCCCGGCAGCCAAAAGTGGCGGCTCGGGTGTAATTTCCGCTCTTCTACTAGGTTTACCCGCTTTTTTAGCCTCAGCAGTAGGAGGCAAAGCTATGATAAGTGAGATTTTGATTTGAAGCACGAGGAAGGATCATATAAAGAAGCATTAGACTTTTGGTTTGATTCAGCAAAATGCGAAGTAGCTCCGGAAAACAAAATCCCAAAAAAAACTGTACAAAAGCCGTTTTTGATTAAAAAAAGTTTATCAAATGATTCCGAAACTAGAAGCTCCTGATGCAATTAGGTTCAATGCTTACCAGCATAAGTTCGGATTGCAATGATTGAATATTATACCTTTAAAAAATCTAAGATTCAAAGTGTCGAATCAGCCGCTTAGAATTGAAATTGGACTCCGCCTAGATTCAAAAATTTGTGCAAAACGTAGTTGCGTTTGCGGGAAAGATGTAACCGAAGATGGATGGCATGGCTTTTTTTATTTGAAAAATTCAGGGAGCTTCTCCTGATTCAAAATTGAAAGCGCTTCTTAGCAAAGTTTCTCCTCCACTCACATTCCTTCTGCTTTAGAGCCACGACACCTCTACAGGACAGATCAGAGGCGAGCGACCAGACGGTTTGACGCTCGTCCCATGGGCTGTTGGTAGGCAGCTCCTGTGGGTTGTAACGGTATTTGACTCCTTTGCCCTAAGAAGAATAAACCCAGGCTCGGTTTGTAACCCCGGAACGTCCTTGGCCGAGGCGGAAGATCAAAATTCTGACAAATGTAGAGATTTAATTAATGATGGATATATTTTTCAACCTATAGTTTTGAAGTTCAGGGTGCCGTCGGACCTAGCAAGAAGATTACTCATAAGAAACTTTGTAAGAACTTGTGCACGTGTACCGAGGAACCCAGGGCAAGCGTTTTTTTAGCAGAAATATCCCTCGA